TAGCTAGTACATTAATTAGCCCGAATAATATAACTTAATACTTATATAGCCTATATCTTATTTTAAAAGCAATGTTCCATTTTTTATCTTTCTTTATTCTAATTAAGTAGTACTCGTTTTATAGATCCATCTTAATAAATATTATAGTTCCGTTTAATCGATCTCTTAATTCTATAGCTAATAGAAGTGAATATCAATCCTTCTTTATAAGTATATTAAGCTTTCTATAGTCCATAACTAGTCTCTTAGTATTATCCTTCTTAAATACTCATATAGTTAGACTTATCATTTAAAATATGAATTCTCTAATTCATTCTTTAGTCAAATTGTTATCAATATATTCCCTAAATGTCTTCAACTTATTGATTGATATTGAATAAATTGAGGTGTATATAGACATCTTGCCTTCCTTTAATATTATCTTATGATCTTATAACTTATATTCTAGCAAAGCCTTATGGATCCCTGATTTCTTGAATATATGTTTATATGTTTTATACTGTTCTAATATCATAAGCTCTTCTGTTTTAATTGTGATTTCCTGCTATATTATTGGCTTCTATATTTATAAAGAAAATGTACTGGCCTTTGCTCTTAATAAAGAACCCTAAACTGAGTATCCTATATCGCTAATATTATTCACGTTCAACTCTCCTTAGCGTATATTATATCTTACAAATACCTTAAACATATTGTTATAACTGTTCTTATACTGATCAAATATTATTGTTTCTTGTAACCAATTTATTCTAGAATTGTATACCTTCAACCATGGCATCCCTAAGATAATCTGTTGTTAGCTCAATAGTACAACATCAAACTATATAACCTTCGAATATTGAGTCATATTTATTCATACTAATTGTATCTCCTATAAAACATTCCTATCAGATTCTATTAGTTATTCATCAACTAATTGTAATTGATAAAGGTTTTGTTTCTTTTAAAATAAAACTCCCAAGTATTTGGTAGCCTTTAATATAATAAAATTTCTTGTAGCCCCTAAATCTATTATAGCTTATTATATTTGTTCGTTTATTTTAATCTTATAGTATATTTATCCTATTTATTCTGTAGCATTTAGTTATAGTGTAATTTGATTATCCTTACTATTCTGAATGATTTTATCAGTAAATATTATACATCAAGGTTCTTTCTCTTTTAAATAAATAATGCTTATTCCTGATCTAGTTTTATTATCAAGTAAATCCTTTTATAGAGTATATTAGTAATTCTCTTAAGTGACTTTCATTATTGTATTCATAATTGATGATGGTATTATGGTCTAAGTCTGGATTTAATATTCTTCTTTTATTCTTCTATATAAAGATAAAACCTGATTCTTATTTCTTTTAGATATATAATAATAAAACACTTCCTATAGCTCTCCTCTATTTGGCTATTAAAGGTGATCAATACTGATTCTTTTTATAAATAATGTGTTTATAATGATTTCAAACCATAGGATTTAATACTAATTAATATATCGAATCTTGTACAATTCGTTTTTTTTAATGTTTATTATATTAAGGTCCTTGTTTATAATTCCTTTGTTTGTATTTCTAAATTTCTATATATAATAATTCCATTGGTCAATTCCCTGAATAGATTATGATTCTTCTAACTGTAGATCCTTATTTACCCATAAAAGGCCTTCGACCTCTCCTTCTTCTTCGAGCTCTTCTTTGTAAGCTAGTGGTGGTATGACTAGCTTTGTCATACTAACAGCACACAATTGTGGCGTGAAGATGGTATTAAGTTGACCCTTGCCAAACTTATTCTTAAAGTTGCCCTTCTTACCCCCTATTCTTTTACTTCGATATTCTGCTATTCAATGCCCTACTTTCCCACATTCAAAGCATAAATTATTTTCTCATCTTCATTTCTTTTCCAAATTATTATTCTCATCTTTATAGTATATAACATTGAGTTCTATAAAGTCTCCATATCTTTATGAATTATAACATAATCTTCTCTTATTCTTATAATAACACTTTTACTTTTGATTTCCCTAGAGTTTATATGATCTTTGACTTTATTAATATTGATAAAGACGATTATCTGATTCGATAGAGTTCTAGATTAAATCGTTCAAGTTTATATTTTCAACAAATCTTTTTAACTCTAATCTGACTTCTAATTTGAATCCTTTATAATAATGATTTATAATAACGATTTCATTCTATCTAATTGTTCTAGTATATTTTCGAAATTCTATAGTATACTTCAATATTGATTCTATCTGCTTAAAATTGAAGATCTTATTTTTTGTTATTTTTAACTCATTAAAATTTCTAAAGATTTTATAAATCTTTATTTTAAATCCTTCAAAACTATTAAAGATTGTTTGAATAGATTATATACAATCCTAATTGTTATACTCGAAATAGTCTTGTAAATATGATTGAATCTACTTATTTACTTCTTCTTTAAGATATAATATAGTTTATATACTCTTAAATTTCTTTTTAATAAACTTGTTTTTATTAAATTTAAAGTAGATTTTAAATTGTAAAAGAAAGATATCAAGTTTCTATTAACTTCCTTAGTATTTATCTGGTAAGGTAATCTTAAATGTTTTGTTAATAATAATTTCCTTAAGAACATTAATGTTACGGGAGCTGCCTCTAGGGTCACGTGGAAGTGTCTAGAGATCTCTCGAGGTGGTTTAGACTAGACTTCAAGTAGGAATTCAATAAGGTTGTAACTGGTTGCAATTCTCGTAACTATAGTAATGAAACTAATGATTATTCTTGAGCACGAAGCTCTACATTGTAATGAAACCCATTCCCTTATATAGATCTTCGTCCTACTTGGACAGCTGGGACAGCCGGGCGCTCCTGGAGCGCTGTCGTTCCTGAGCTGTCCATCACGGGACACTAATCCCGTGACTCTTGGTGTCCTAGCTTATTCTTTTGTCCTGGGGCTAATCCCCTGGGACATTACTAATCCTAGTGAAGCCTTCTTGCTTACTGTGTTCTGTCTTTCCTAGGACCTATTGTCCTGGGAACTATGTCCTATGTTTCTAGGGTATCCTATGACTAATACTATATACGTGCCTGAGGCTCTCCTGGGTGCCTAGCGTCCCCCGGTATACTGCAGCTGAATCACCGAGGCTTATAGTACCATTATAGCCTATACGTTGGTGATTCTACAGCCTGTTACTAATCCGTTGTAACAATTAATCATCTTGATATTATTAATGTCAAATACTTATACCTAACTATTTGTGAATATATTAGTAAATGTTATATCGTTGATTGATATTGAATTAATATTTGAAATAAAAAGAATACTTAAAGTATTATGGAAACTATCTCTAAGATTATATAAAAGTATTTAGAATTCTCTTAAGATAGTTTAGATTAAACTTTAAGTAGGAATTCAATAAGATTGTAATTAATTGTAATTCTCATAATTATAATAATGAAACTAATAATTGTTCTTGAATATAAAGCTTTATATTATAATGAAACCCATTCCCTTATATAAACCTTCATTCTTTATTATTCTATTGATCCTATTATGTCCCACCAAATGGGAGCAATAGGATCCAATGGGAATCCCTAATCCCATGACTTCCTGATCATGTGATGCGGTATGTTGGATGCCGTCGTAACAAAAAGGAGGTTTAAAAATACTCTTCTTTTTAACTTTTAATTATTTAGATCGTATATCGATATTACCGCTAATAGATTTATTTATTATAATAATAAGACATATTAGAAAAGATAATAAAAACAAAATAATAATATTGTTAATTCTAAATAGAAATAATGAATTTAATATTTATAAGATAAAGAAGTAAAGAAGAATTAATAACTCTTCTTTTAAAAAAGATATAAGACTCTTTATTAATATAACTAATTATACTATAATATAATAATTACAGATTACTGTATAATTAATATATTCCAAGTTAAAATAATAAATAAAAAAGGAAATGAAGTTACTTAAAGTGAATTTATATTATAATAAAACCTTAATAAATAAATAAAATAAACTCTTATAAAAAAATTAATTACTTATAAAGTAGTATATTAACTATAATAAAGAAAGATTATAATTCCTTAAAGAACTATACTTCTCAGACTATTATAAATCTGAATTTTAATAAATATATAAAATCAATATCTCATCTATAAAAAAATAGTCATACTAGTAATTAGTATTAAAGCTTAGACGATTTAGATTTAAAAATATTTCTCTAGGTTTTAATATCATTTAGGATTTATAATTATAATCTATAGATATAACTTTATCTTTTAAACTAATTCTTTAATATTTAATATTATTAAGTTAATAAAAAGAAAAGCTTTCTTATTATATTATAATCATATACTAAAGAATATTGATAAAGATTAAATAATTAGAATAAGAAAGCTAGAGAAAGAAAAGATTGCTAAGGAATTTCTATATCTCTTATATAATAACAATCGCTTAATTCAAGCTAGTCTTAAACTAAAATATACGTAATGAGTCATTATAATGTCATATATTATTTATTAGTAAGTCTATTTAAAACTAATAGGAACTTTCAAATCATAAAAGTTGAAAAATCCAATGGAAAGCTTCGAAATTCGAAAATTTGAGCGGGATGACTGAATATCTAGTAAATTTGACTAACGTAGTATTGACTTATTCCATCAACCTCTGTAAGCCGCCTGTGGTGTGGGCTGCGGGAGCCAACAAATTAATGAATGGATGAATGAACATTTCGTCATCGATTTTTGATTTTTAATTTGTATTTTTGGCGGGAGGAGAGGGAGGATAGTTGTGGGTGGATAATGGTAGATAGATAGATATTATATATTATATACTCACGATATCCGCGAGAAAATAAAAGATTGCGCGATTCAAAAAAATGGGGTTTGGAGAATAGATCTTGGGAGGATGAGAGGTGGGAGGATGAGAGGTGAGAGGATGAGGATGAGGATGAGGATGGGAGATATAATTGGATTCTATTATTTGCTAGTTGTTAGTTGTTACAGATACAATTCCCTACCTACCTACCTTTGGTAGGCCTGGCCTCGTCTTGTCTCGTCTCGTAGATGTATGTGACAATATGTAACAGGATAGGATACATAGGATAGGATAGGATACCATAGGATGTCATAGGACAAGCCAGGACAAGCCAGGACAAGACAACACAGGGCAGCCGCGGTTGATTTTTAGGTCGGATTATTCATTTTCTTTGATGATTGGTGAGGAGGTGCTGAATTTGATGTTGGAAGTTGGGAGTGTATATATAAAACAAGATTATGGCTGGCTGGCTGGTTGTGGTTTGCGGTTTGCGGTTTGGGTTACTAGGTACTTAAATATAGAGGTGATTGATATATGGAAGGAAGGAAGGGATTGCGAATTTGTTTGTTTGTTTTTATTATGATACTTTATTTGATTTAAAAATTTGATGAGAATATCTATAAGAAAGATTTTTTGAATTTTGGAAGAAATTGAGGGAACTTGCTTTCGCGATTGGGGTTCGAGAGGAGATATTTTAAATGTAACGAAGGAAGGAAAGAGAGAAAGAGAAAGTGATTATTGACTTGGTTTCTTTACTTTTGATTCTGAATCTGATTTCGATTTCGCTTTGAGGATATACAAGATACGAGGGGTTTCAGTGTAAGGATTTACGGGTTAAAGGAAAGAATAGCAGAGGATAGCAAAGAAGGATTCACCTTTCTTGACAGGATCATTTGTGAATACCTTCAAAAAACGTCATACGAGGATTTGATATCAGAAGAATATCCTCTATCCAGTCTTCCATCTATCCCTTCGAACTCACAATCGATACGACGTCTACGTACTTACCACTTTTCAAACGACTTCCACTCCTACTTAAAACACAACACCAACACACGAATAGATAAACAAACAAACAACCAAAAATGTCAATCCTCGAACGTATCAATCCGCTTGGATACGGCATAGGACGAACGACACATGCTCTATGGCGATTTCTGCAATTCGTATTAGCACTCACCGTCATCGGATTATATGGAACTGATCTCGCAAATGCGAATAAACAGCATAAATATTCCGATGGGAAATGGGTATATCTTCCCCTCCATCCCATCCCCTCCCCCAAGAAGATCCCCAGACCACTAACTAACCCCGCCCAGGTCTACGCCGTAATAACTGGTACCCTCTCCGCGCTCACCTCCCTCCTGCACCTCATCCCCCTCTTCAATCTCATCCCCGTCCTCTTCCTTTGGGACGCTATCCTTTTTATCCTCTGGATCGCCCTCTTCGGTCTCTTTGGAAATATGTACATAGGTGAGAAAGCGGAAGGGAATGCGGGGGTACAGAGGATGAAAAATGCAGTCTGGGTGGATTTGGTAAATGCGCTTTTGTGGGCGGGGAGTGTAGCGGGAATGGTGCTTTTTTGGAGTAGGGAGAAGAGGACCAGGTGGACGGGGAGGGCGAGGGGGAGGAGTGGGAGTCCGGGGGTTTGAGGGGGGGTGAAGGGGGATGGGAATGGTATCTTATGGTTCTTGATCGGTTGGGGGGGGATTGACTTCCTATTTCTTTTGGTTTATAATGGGTCAGGTACCGCGGATGGATACCAAGAATTCATGAAGTATCGGTACTCGATGATCATCTCGAGCATCTACCTACCTACATAAAATCCAACGACTGAAGATGGAGGTTAAAGGCATTGGGAGAGAAAATGTGGGAGAGGAGTGATGTTTTTTCTGTTTTGATTGCGAAATATACCATTTTGATGCGGAAAGCAAAGGGAAGGAAAGAAGGAAAGTTGGGTGGATACCAGAATAGTTTAGTTTTAGTCTGGTTTGGTTGAGTTTGGCTGTTTCGATACCCTTTTCATGAGAAACGTATGGTTTTATGTGTATACCTGTTTATGAACTTCTGAACTTTTTATATCTTTGCATTTTTGCGTGGTGCTTGGGTATCTCATTCATATCTATCCATGGATTACGGAGTATCTAGATATCTAATCAACTTAATACCCACCACCATCCACACCCTCCTCTCCCCATCTCCTTCCCCACCAATTCTCCTCCCCCTTCCTCAAAAAATTCTCCCCAACTCCATCCCGGAACAGAAAAGCCTCCCCCCAAAACAACAAAATACAGCTGCAAAAAAATCTCCAATCCACCAAACATCAAAAAGTACCAAATGCAACATCTCACACAATTGCCCGTTCTAGGAATCGAACCTAGGATCTCATCATTACTAGTGATGCGCTTTACCGCTAAGCCAAACGGGCTGTTTAATTCAGTAGTTGAATATGTGCTGAATGTGAAAGTTAGGTGCTTGTGTAACAATATATTTATGTAATAGTCAGGGCTTGGATTATGGGTAGAGCTGACGCTATATAAGCGAAAGAAATAAGAGGTGGGAATTGATACTACTCGATATGTATCTGCATGGACTTTGTTAATTTTGATATGTTTGTAATGTGGTATTGAATATATATATTCCTGATGGCTAAGGTGAAGAAAACTGGAATTTTTGTTTAGTTTTTTGAATTGTAATATCTGTTTTGGTATGAGTTTTAGTTTATTTAGGGAGTTCTTTGGAAGGGTATGAGGGTACTTGATTTCTGCCTGATGTTTCGACTGCGGAGAGGTAGATTAGATAGATGGGTTTGTTAGCTGGGGATTTGGTGGATTTGATTAGGAGGGGAGAGAGATGGTGAGATGAGAGGTAGATTTTATGTTACATTTGGGGGTGGAAGGGAAGTAGGCTGCACGGTTGAGGTTGAAGATATGTAGTTTTTTCTAAATAGGGATTTATTTGATTGTTTCATGGTGTTCAATTATGGGTTATGTTGTTGGTTGTTTATGCAGATGGTATTCCCAAAACTTATGGTAGAGCCCGGCTCTATGTAATCGAAAAAAACGGGCGGAAATTGAGTACTCTTTAGAACAACTTCAATAATTGGATCTCTAGTCAATAGATTATCAAATATAGACAATCCTAATTTTTGATGAAGGAAAAAGCTCGAACTTCGTTTGGTTCCTTCAGATATTGATGTTTAATTTGAGATGACTTTATAATCCAATTAATGAAGTCTTTTCTAAGGGTACTCGAATTGCGCCTGTTTTTTCGCTTATGGAGAGCCCGGGTAGCTAGGAAGGAGGGTATTCGATCTTCATCGTCGCTTGTGAATCTCAAGGTAAGCTGATAGGTGAGTGAGTGAGTGTATGAGGAAGAGATCTGGGTCTCCCTCTGAATGGATGGGAGAGAGAAGTACGGAGGGGTTCTCCATGCATTTGGGTTTGATGCTCTAAGTGGTGGTTATAAAACTGGTCTTTTTTTTGGTCATGTCTACCTAACAACAAACGACCACAACCATCTCCGTCCATCCTCTTTGAACAATAGATTGTAGCCTATTTCATGATGGATCCACGTGTTGGTTATCAAGGCAGACTTTTAACGTAGGCATAGAGATTCATGTTAGAAATTACAATAAATACCTTGGATTACTTTCATAATCTTCTATAATACGAACATCAACTTTCTACTCCTCGTTGTTAAAATACCTAAAACCACAGGTTAATTTCAAAGCTCAAATATCCATTATTATAATTGCGTAAATACAAACTATATCTTTCAAAATATCAAATTTCAACCTCAATATCTCAACATCTCAAGCCTTCAACTGACCTCAATATCTTAACATCTCAAGCCTTCAACTGAAACAATGTCTAGATCCCAAGCCAGAGCAACTCCTCGATCCGAAAGGTTGCCTTCTGAGGATGTACCGAATGTAAAGGACTCAAGAGGGAATGAGGCCCAAGAAACCCTCAACAAGCTTGCACGGTTCGTTCGCGAGGTGGATGACCGAATGCACTTCGAAGTTGATGAGCGGAAAAATGATCAATTGAAATTAAAGGGAAATCGAAACAAAATTACTCAAAAACAAGTAAAACAGTTTGCCAAAGACGCAACAGTTGGAAATAAGGAGTGGGAACTGAAAATTGAGGGTGGCGTGAAGGGAAGTTACACTTTCTCGTGGATAGATGTTTTGAAGCACCGAAAAACAGCATCAAGGGAGTTGTAGAGTTGACTATCTATATATAATTTAATCAATTGATCAAATTGATTAAATAATAATATAGACCAATATCTGCCTTGTACCACGTGGATAATTCCTACAGGAGTATTTTTGAGGATATGTTGTTTAGAAAGAAAAGAAAAACAATTGCTTTTCGTTTAAATGTTTACAAAAGCATATACAACCTTTGGCTCAATATAAGCACAAACAAACATCGTGTTGAATTAATCAGTTGCTACAGAATTTCTGATTGACAGATATGAATTGATATTGCAACTTGATTTGACGGTCAATTTTTAGCCCTAGCTCGAGGCGGCCACATGATAGGCGGTTATGGTGAGGATATAGATATGGATAGGACCCTAAGGATACATACATTCATCTTAGACATACTCCCAGAGAATAGCAATCAATAAAAGTAACAAAAGAGTATTAGATGGTAGGGCTACAGCTGAATGTCTAGGATGCAGATTCCCATACCAGATGGCGATGGAATTTCCTTGGGGTGTAGATGAGCTTTATGCTAGATTTCTACTTAGTTAGACCTTACACTTTGGAGGAGGGGGTTAGCTATCCTTTCTTTTCTTACCTGTGTAGAAATTTCATTTGATAATTGGGTATGAAGTACCATCCATGTATTACTTCCTCTCACAGGTCACCAAGGCCGTTAATTTCCATTCAATATTGACATCGATATGAGGAGAGTAAGTATGAAAAAATTTAAGTTCGCATCAAGATTTCAGGGATCGCTAGTTCATGCACTGGGTATCGATCGTGAGTCTGTAAACTAGAAGCAAGAATTTCGGTTACGAAAGGAGGTGATGGGAAACTTTAATGAGTAAACAGTTTGCTTGACTTATTTATTTGGTAGAAATGAAGAGGAAACATTCCTTTTTTTTTTTTTTTTGCTTTCTGGGTACTGTATTGAATGGGGAACCATATAAGTAGTTCTGTAGTTACCATTTATGTTGTGTGGAAAAGATATGTGTATGTTGATAGTGGTATGTGGTAGACATCCGCCTCGCCAGCCAGCTCTAAGATATAAGAACTAAGTTTGGCAGTTGTGTCCTCGCTGCAGTACAGTGCAACAATATGAAATATCCAGCTAAGAAGCATCGGCAAGTCTAATACTAGTTTCATGCCATAGGATTTAGATTGAGTATAACTGCATGGAATGTTGTTCATGGAGATGAATCTACACGTGCTTGTTATCTCTCTGTGTGTGTACGCGTCTCCAGCTTTCACTCCTATTCATCCACTTCCGAAGGCACATTGGCTACTTTTCTCCATCATTTAACCACTCCCATGTTCGGAGCATATCTATTATCTCTCATCTATAAACACTTCAACTTCACCTAGCACACAAATACAAGTTGATTCAAACCACCTAGCAGGAGTTCCAACGCAGTGGCTAACTCAATCACAACTATACTCTGTACGTTATTATCTCACTTTTCTCTATCCTATTGATCTTTCTTGAGTGACCATGAGCAGAGAGGAAAAAGGTTATATTATCATAGGAGTGCCGTTGTGTCAGCCTTCAGAGAATGACAGAAATCTAATGATGACAACAAATAGCTCATATCAACAATGATATGTGAGTTTATTTCCGACATTCATTAAAAAATGTCACTATATCGTTTTTACCGTCATTTCAGTCCACGAAATTATGGTTCCCTGGAATCGCCCAATTCGACTAGAAGATAGGAACTTTAATCACCGTGCAGAATTCATGAAAGCGTCCTCCCTGGCTTCACTTGTTGTCTCTTAGTGACAGGTGCTTTGAACCTCATAAGACTTGTATGACAGACGAGGACCGAGGATAAAACTGCCATTTATATACTTTAGCTATGCCAGCTGCGCTGGGCCTAGAGATCTAGACTGTTAGAGGACTATTGAATACTTGGTACGAGATCTCAGTTCGAGTGAATAGCCTTACAAGTACTCTAAGTCTCTCCCATAGCTTAATTCAGTTACTAGGCTGAAAAGTTCTTCCGTGATTTGTACATAATGGAACTTGCTAACTCTCCTGTTGAGAGATACAGTGGCAGCTAATGCGAAGATGACGAAAGAAATAGAGGACTTTGCTGCTCGATCCCGAGATCTGAATATGAATGATCGAGCTACTAGTACTGGAAATTGAGCTGACAATCAGAGCTTTTATACATGCTGGATATCCCTTTCATTGTGAATTGCAATTGTTGTCTTTGGCATGTAATAGTTGTTATTGTCGATGACAGCTATTGTACTTAACCTCTCGTCGTCGAGATTGGGAAGGAGACAAATTTCTCCAAAGACTATAATCTGCGGTAGATGTATGGGTAAGTCAACTACCCCACTTTCCGACCACCCCCTGTTTCCGACCACCTAAAAAATTCATATTATCTACACTTAAAACTTTAATAACTCAATAACTATTGAACTTCAATGAAATCGCCTGTAGAATCACTTTCTATAGCACTAGAGCTATCATCTACCTCATCTTCACGATCTCCAGCTTCAATTTGTGTACGCCTTATAGCTCTAATCCCTGCGAACTTCGAATTTGGAGATACCACAACCTTTCGCCTTTTTCTAGGTAATGCTTCATCTAATTGATATTCTAGCTTTCTAATCTTATTCTCTGCCTCTAAGGGTTCATAATCCTTAGCATCGAATCCTTTTATAATCTTGCGAAATAGTAATCTTCGTGTTGGCAAATCGATCTCCTTCTCTTGAATCATTATATCTCTATATTTTCTGATATCGGCTCCTTTTTGAGGGTTTTCCATTGAATAAACGATGAATATATATTCCATTGAAGAATAGGATCATCATCAGATTCAGGATTAAGTGATAAAACCTCTCTATTGCTATTTTCAAGCAAAAGTCGACTCATAAGAGGTTTAGCCATATTTTTGGGCCAAAGACCACTAGCTTGCCACCCAGACTTGATATTTTGAATAGTTAAACCTTCTATTCTAGCCTTCTGATAGCAAGAAAGGAAATTGCGCTTTCCAATTGGTGAGGAATCGGATAATAGACTTAATTTATTAAGTTCGATTCGATATGCACTTTTTAGGGGTGAGAACACAGATAAATCGAGTGGTTGTAGTACGTGTGACGTATGTGGTGGGAGAAATAAGAGATATATGTTGTTATTAAAGCATTCTAACATAAATGCTGTAGTTTCATGGCTTCCGTGTCCGTCCAAAATGAGGAGTCTTGAATTTTCCGGCTGAATAGGGGTAGTTTGAGGGATATAGATCTTTTTCAGCCATTCTAAAGCTGTAGCATCTGTAGTCCATCCATTTTCTGTAGCGGTAAAGTTCCAACCCTTGAATAGAGTCAAATCTGTTGGAAACCATTGTTGTTGAACTGATTTTCCCTTATATATTACAAGGGGAGTAATGCTTTTTCCATTGGCTGAAATGCATTCTATAAAAGAGGTCCAAATTCGAGATCCAGGTTGCTTTTTTTGAATAAATCTTCGATCAGTGCTTCCTACTACTAGTCCATTAAGACCCTGACCCTCCATTATACCTGCTTCATCCATATTCCATCTGTTGGCCGGCTTAATAGCCTTGATTTCAGGGATTGCGAGGTTCCGGAACCACTTCTTAATAATATCAGATGTAGCACCTGAAACTCGTGCAGAATCGATTTGATGTTGCTTCTTAGTTCCAATATTAGGATGCCTTCGAAAAAAAGCTATGTATCCATTTCTTTCCAAGTGAGGGATCCTCCCCTCGTACAATAAGGAGGTGCTCTGCCATCTCTCTGATTTGACGATGTGTAGGGCTAGTACCAAGAGCTTCCTGTACTAATATCCATTCTGCTAGTCGATTCTCCTGAATTGGAGATAACTTTTGAAGTATTTGGGCGCCGTTTTGATGCGAAACTCCACCATATATTCGATCGTGAAGTGTGGTACGTGGAACACCATAATCCAAGCTAGCTCTTCGTATGCTTGCTCCATTTGTAATCGCTCTAAGAGCCTCTGCGATATCTTCTTCGGTATATCTATTCTTCATATCACAATTATAATAATATCAAAATTTCAAATCAATTGATTAAAGCATTGTTGAGTTATTCAAAGTATAAATTTTATAATTACTCAAAGCGGTGTGGTTTTTGAGGTGGTCGAAAAGAGGGGGGTGGTCGGAAAGTGGGGTAGTTGACTTACTATACAGTAGGTGAAAAAAAAAGCAAGAGTTTGGGTAGCAAAACTGTAAGGAAATTGTGTGAGGAAATGGACAAAGAATATACATCTCTTAACTTTGAAAGGGGATGAACATCTATGACGATTAACCGTTTGAAAGATCGGCAAAAAGCGGTAAGGGGTATAAACGAAGTAGGGAAGATGAAGCTATTCCCAATTTTCGAGTTGATCCGAACTTTAATTTATCATTCAACAATGAATCACTATTTCACATCATGTGTAAATGGTTTGTATCACCATTGATCTACCTAGTTATACTATAACGTATTTCTCAAAACGTTTTTGCTAGGTAGGTAGTAAAAAGTGTTTACATTTGGAATTTTCGAATAAGTTCGAGAAAGTATTCGTTTGGACACCCATGTTCTACCATAAATCTTTCAACCTTTTGCGAAATCTTATATTTATATCTACGTCCATATTCCCGCTGTGTAAGTTTCAGTTTCTTTCAAAGTTTGGGGATTTTATTCTTTCTCAAGTATTTATTTGTATTGTACGAAGTATCTTCGGTTGGGACTCTGGAGAGCCGCCGGGAGATCAGAAGTCTAAAATCAGGGAGAAAACTCTAAAAAGTGGTTTCGGCTGAATTGGATGAGGGTTTAAATTCAGAGGGTTAAGCTTATTCTACTCCTTGCTGTATGAGATGGAAAATGAAATAGGGGATGAGATGGTATAATCGAACATCTGGAATGTAGAGTTCCATACGGGATGGGATGGATATAGAATTTCTTAGGAGTTTTTGATGGTTTGTTCGTTGCTTGTTTTTTCTAATTGGCATTGAGAATGCTCTAATTCGTATGGTTAGCCATTCAGTATGTATCACCAGATAATCCGAAATGCAAAACACACAGCCATAGATTGAAGATAATGAAGATATACCTACATATCTACATGTTGTTGATAGAATTGTTTCTATGATGAGATGGTTCCTACGATGCTTTGAGAGCACAAATAGCTAGTCCCAGTCAGGGTTAGTACCGGTAGAGATCTGACACACCAGGGCTTAATTACTTCACCGATTCCTCCCTTCTGGATCATTGTACAATGGTCTGAATGCCTTCATTCAGTAGACCTTACACTTTCCATCTTTTCTGCAAAAGTTATAAAGTTATACTTTGATAGAGATATTTCCATACAACAAAGATCATGATTGGCTATTCGGAAATTATGGGAACAGCTTGAAAGATCTGGCACGGCCCGCGAGCCCAATTTTATTCCATGGTATCCAATCATGTGAATTTCTCCTACGGTTTTCTCGCGTTTGTTTACTAGCTACCTACTTCAGAAATAGTCAGCGGCATATTATCAACTGCATGTCTGCAAGGTCTACTATATTTGGGATGAACTGGATGGAAGAAGCGAAAGCAATCTGCTTTTAGCTCGCTTGTGTGTTTGGATACCTATTTTTGCTATCTCATCGTTCCATTGTGGTACGTGCAGAGTATCGACCTTGAAGTCTTTTCAGATCTAGATTGCTCACAAGTAATCTCACACAATTATCTAATCCTGCGCGTGGGAAAGCTCTTCAGTTGCGTTGATACCAAGGGTAGCCAAGCTTCATGCTACAGTAGTCTGTTTAAGCTCAAATAGATCTAGAGACATGAATCTGTTTTGCTTGAAGATCTTAGATCAGGGGTTCAATTTCTCCATACCCACTTTCTGACTCTTTCTCCAATGAAGCAAAACTTTGACCATGGGTGTGTAGATCTGGGAACCCCTACCAGTACCTTATTTCTACCAAGGTTATCTGAAGATGCACAGCCGCAGAGGCTTCTTTCTCTCCATTCATCTGGATAAGAAAACCTACACGCTGCTGATTAAGGCCTAGCGCCACGGCTCAGGACTCCACAGTTCAAGCTATTGATATTGACAGCAGCATTCACTTCAACACTGTTTCTCTGCGGTTTAAACTTTATGAGAAGGTCTTCATGGGGTCCATCATCCCCGGGCATATCCGAATGCAGGTGTTTTTCTGATATGTTCCAACACGGAGGTAGGCCTTCGAAAAGTACTTATTTCAGTGGTTTCCCGTTCCCCCAAAGGTTTCTTGAATCGATATCGTAGACTCTTGAATCCTTCTTTTATTTCTTCGAGTCAAGCAAAATAATCTTCATAATGGTTTCCACGCTCCTTCCATTGGTTGTCCTTGCGACTCCAGCCGTTTCTACCATTTTGTCAAATGGAACATACCCAGCTTCAGCACTTGATGATCAATTGTCATGCACCACCTCATTTGCTTCAATGGCACCATACAACATTCTTACATCCTCCAAGACAGAGACTTCAACCAGGATTGATACAAGTATAGTCACCTATACTCCCTCCATGTCCTTGACCCTGCAAGCAAGTACTCTTACTGTTGGAGAATTCGCCACCACCACCGAAACAACTATCGTTCCTCAAGTTACCGACACATTTTACAGTACATCAACTTGTCTCGCTACAACCTCTATCACCAGTGCTATTGTTGAGACAGAGACTAATACTGCTACAACCACAATCAGTGCAAGTCCAGAAACTGTTTACATCGCAGCTCCATATGGCTTTACACCCATCGCTTCGGCTGTTCCTGGTGTAGCCAAGCGTAGTGAATGTGGACCGGCCCAGCCTTCCCAGGAACCACTCACCGTTACAATGACAGTAACATCTACCCTCGTTTATTCAAACGATGTGTACTATACTGTAACAAAGTCAGGCGAGTGGAACCACCAATGGCCAAACACCTTGCAGTCTCTCACAAAAACTACCACCGAGTCTCAATCTGCTTCAGAAGCTGAGGTCCCAAGTACAGGAGTGGCTGGATTAGCTCCATCTGAGTCTGCTCCATCTGAATCTTGGTCTAGATATCATTACCATAACTCCCCATCTCGCCAAATTGCTGCCTCCGGATATGCACCATCGATCAGTGAGCATATGAGCACAGCTATCAGTAGCGACATCAAACCACTTGAAGACCCAAGTCCTTCCATGTACGCACCAACTGGCGTCATTCCCCCTGGTGGAGCCAGCGTCACCCCCGTAAGCGCAAACTCAACCATCAGCTCTGCCCCCGCACCTAGCTTCGCTCACAGCACATCCTACCCAGCAGCGGTTGACTGTACATCCACCTTAAACATTGGATCTATCACCACAATCACCGAAACAGCAGCAATGGTTACCAATCTTGCAACTCCATACATCACAGAGACTTCAACCTCCACTATAACAACAACAACAAGTGTTATGGAAGAGGATTGTTCCGCCACCCTCGTCGCTACCGAATATTCAACCATCTCAAGTATCATCTTAGCCACTTCCACAACAACCCTCACAGCCACCCAAACCGTCAGTGAAGTTTCCGGCGCAACTCCTACCACCTACGGCGCTTGTGCCGCTAACAACATGATCTCCTCCGTCAACGGAGCACCCGTTACACAAGTGCAATTCCTGACGAATGTCCTCTCTTCATTGAAGACAAACTCGGCGTATGATTGTTGCGTAGCATGTCAGACCGCTGCAGGCGGTTGCGCTGGTTCCGTCTATCTGAAGAGTGGCGCTTGTTATTTGGCTGCACCAGGCGCAACCTGTGGGGTTAACAGCATCATCACGAATAAATTTCATACTTCGCCATCGGCAAGTACTGCTGGTGCCTTTACGGTTTCGAATGGAATGTGTGGACAGATGAGCTATAGTGCGTATTGAGGGAAGAGGCATATTTAGATAGGTAATGGAAATTGATATAGTTTAGAATAAATAGAATATATATAAAATTAATAAGGAAACATTAATGAGTTTTTGGATTTGTAAATTGGTGATAAATATCGTAACGTTGTGTACATTTTTTCTATCAATACACATACTATAATATAGTTTGAAGAATCTTCTTCATCATTTGACATCATCATAGAAGACGATGAGATAAACATTCACCTCGTCCCTAAATTACAACTTCATTGAAATTTAATTCTGAACCCATAAAGTTTTGGTGTCCGTGTCGCCGTCCCCAAGGATAAAAATAGAAATACGCGAGTTTGAGCTTAAATGAATATAATACAGAAGAACTTGATTATATTGGACTGAAATTTTCGACCAATGAAATCCGATATAAAGAAGATTCTGGTATAAAAAATGGTGGTTTAAGCTTTTTAATTAAAATTTATATTCGATTTCAATTCTAAATTTTGATATTTTCAAGAAAATATTATGTAATAATAATCTTTCAAGCTTACTTATTTAAAATATAGCTTATTCAGTTAAATGTTACGACAGACATCACATGACACATTCGCGTGTCACATGAGGGAGCCTTGGGGAGCTACGGGCTCCAGGAGCATACGGATCCCAGGGGCTTCAGATAACGAAGGTCTATATAACAAATGAGTTTTATTAGAATATAGAGCTTTGTGCTCAAGAATAATCATTAGTTTCATTACTATAATTACAAGAATTGCAACAATTACAACCTTATTGAATTCCTATTTGAAATCTAGTCTAAATCACCTCGAAAGATTTCTAGACATTTCCACATGACCCTAGAGGCAGCTCCCGTAACATTAAATTGATTACTAAAATTTATACCGGAATTTAGTCAATTTAGTCTGGTATACTAGTTTTCATCAAAATTCCAATATTCCTATATAAATTTAGGAAAAGATGGAAAAAAAGTCCGGTATATTCAAGTTTCTAGTATATCCTAGTCTGATATAACTAAGTTTTTCTATATAATAGAACTTGATTAAATTAGATTAAGATATATCGAAAACTTGAATATATTGGACTTTTTTTCTATTTTTTTTTAATTTATATAGGAATATTAGAATTTCAATAAAAACTAATATATTGGATTAAATTGATTAAATTTTAGTATAAATTTTAGTAATCAATTTAACTGAATAAGCTATATTTTAAATAAGTAAGCTTAAAAGATTATTATTATATAATATTTTTTGGAAAATATTAAGGTTTAGAGTTAAAATCGGATATAAATTTTGATTAGAAAACTGTTACGGGAGCTGCCTCTAGGGTCACGTGGAAGTGGCTAGAGATCTCTCGAGGTGGTTTAGACTAGACTTCAAGTAGGAATTCAATAAGGTTGTAACTGGTTGCAATTCTCGTAACTATAGTATGAAACTAATGATTGATCTTGAGCACGAAGCTCTACACTGTAATGAAACCCATTCCTTTATATAGACCTTCGTTCTCTGTGCTCAGTCGGATCACAAATGATCCCTCTGATCCGATCAACTGGATCACTAATGATCCCTCTGATCCGGTTACCTAAGCGTCGGGGTCACGTGACGTCTATTGTGGCAGACCATCGTAACAAAAACTTAGACTATTATTTTTTATATCAGAATCTTCTTTATATTGGATTTGATTGGTCAATTTTTTTATTCCGGTATAGTCAAGTTCTACTGTACTGTATTTTCATACCTAAGCGATTGGGGCCGAAGGAAATTCTAAACAGGTTTTCCATACTACTAAATAAACTCCGTTTCCGCTTACTTAGAAAAACTACTTACGTATTCAATCTTTCTCCTTAACTCTCCTCACTCTCTCTCGTCCTTCAAAACCTCATGAGCGTAGTGTTACGACGGTATCCAACATACCGCGTCACATGGCCAAACGGTCATGTAATGGACCTAGAGGATCTAGGGGATCGAAGAATAAATGTTTAGACCTATAAGATCCAAAGGATCCAAGCAGAACAAAATCTCATAATATTGTAGAGAACGAAGGTCTATATAAGGAATAGGGTTTTTTTATATGTAGAGCTTTATACTTAAGAATAATCATTAGTTTTATTATTATAATTATGAGAATTGTAACTAATTATAATCTTATTGAATTCCTATTTGAAGTTTAATTTAAATCATTTCGAGAGATCTCTAGCCACTTTTATGTGATCCTAGAGGCAGCTCCCGTAACACGTAGATCTATTATACATACTAGGTATATTTCCAGTTTGCCAAGAACTTGCTTCAGACATGCCTCACACATTAACACATTCTGAGCTGCTAATATATTCCAAATTAGAGATTGAGCTGCCACATACGACCATAGACTGAAGAGAATTGGGCATCCCGTCCGCTCTGCCATACACAAGCTTCAGATCGGTGGATTAGTAGTTGGGTGGGTGACCACCAGCGAATCCCCACTGTTGTATGTTTTTTGATTTCAATTTTGTTTCTGCTTTTGGATCTCGCAAGGGTAAGGGGGTGGAGTGTAGAGGAGAGGAGAGGATGCCGGGAACGTTCGTTGTGAGATGTTCCTTTTGCCGCGATGAAGAGGAAGAAAGGCTAATCTTAGAAGTCGAGGATCTTCCTGGGGTTTGCCGGCCTCACGAAGACCAGAATGACAGCTAGAATAGGGGAAGTTGTGGTTTTGAAGGATTGTCAAAGATTAGATATCTAGTGCGAGAAGTAAATCATGGTATGGTTTGATGGATTAGATGTAGATGATACGTAAGTAATCAGACGATCCGAGTAGCTGTCTACCTGCTCTAGTGGTTTCTGGATACCCAAGTCTCAGATACCTAACCATCTGCGGTGTCTGTCTGTTGAGTAGAAGCGGGAAGAGATATGAATGGAAACCCGAGATTATGGGTGGGAATGATGCGAGTAAGGACAGAGTGAATCTCTTTCGCTTTCGCTTTCTGCTCCTTTGATTGTCTGTAAAGTTTTTGTGAATTTTTGGGCTTGAGAGACTTTGAGAATTACATATTCAGGAAGGGGGGCTTCAGACTTTCGTTTTTTGGGGTTGATTTGGTTAACAGCCCTTACTTACTACACAAACCTTGGAAGGTATAAGCATAAATTGAGAAAAGCAAAGCTTAAATTAGAATTGCGGAAAACAGTGAAGCAGGGTGGCTCATTCATTAGCTCACTAGATTATTCATCAAAGCTTGACATTATTATTGAATTGAACAATTCTATTTTCAACCAAAGTTGCCCACATTCATTGTTAAACAGTGATCTAATTGGAATTGCATTTAGATATCTGGGTAATTTGCTGTACCCCTGCTTAGCGTATTTTAATACAGTGACATCTGCAGCCCTACAAGTGGCTCGAGCGTTTTTCGGAAAATCTGGGGTCAATGCCTTTGATCCCGTTCCCAAATTTATTATATAAGGACTCTTCATCCCCTACACATATTATATCTACCATCATCGTAACCAACATATCCCACTACCTCAAGTAGCGGACCATTCTCCTGGAACAAACACTTGCAACTCATCAATACTGGCATCATCTCTCCGCCAAGTATTTACACCTGATCAAGATGTTTCGACGAACACTCTTGAGATCAGGACAACCCATCATCCAGAGACCACATCGTATCAATTTTCATAGAAATCTGCAGAGTCTATCCAATCTACAATAAGTTCGTGCCTCTATATCATAATAAGTATTGCAGTTCCACATTGCAGTATACCAACAATGATTATAGCAGGGAAATGCAGCTGAGGCACCACCCAATAGTTCAGGGGGACAGACTTCCACTGCTCATCAAGATAAGACGCAAGATCAAACGAACAGTCTTCTTTTAGATCAATTGAGGGAGAATACACTCACGAATCATGGCGACTCTTACGATATGAACAGCATGACGGTCAACGAGATGGAGAGCAAGTTGGAGTCAAGACTACAGAAGTTGGAAAGCGATTATCAATTAATAGAAAATGAAATCTGGAAGTTGGAATATTATAGAGACCAAGAATATGCTGCAGAAGTGGTCAGCATAAGAAATTAACTGGCCCAGGTGTTTCTCAGCTCCACTCAAAATGCACAACGTAAGAAGCAAATAGCTAATCCAATCGATGTACGAGTCAACGTATACGATCAAACCGGATTAGCATTCGACGTCAATCTGTCAACAGCAATGAATCAAGCTGATCGGCACCCTGCCTACTTTGATATCTGTTTAAATACGGGTTTCGGAGCACCAAAGGATCTCATCAATCGCTTACTTAAATGGAATAAGGCGGGGGAATATCAAGTTTACCGCATCTTCGGTGATCATGGAGAAGCTTGGCACAAGGGCTTTGCTGATACTTGTCCCAAGCCTTTCAAAACATGGTTGTCGTCAATAGTTTGTCCTCAAAAACTCGAATCAGCTGTATTTCATGATTCATCCCCCAATCTCGAAATCCTTATTCAGTATCAAAAGGAACAAGTCAAGAAATCTATTCAAGAATGGGACGAAGCTTATACAGCAGACAGATCAAATTATGGAAAGAAACGAAAGCAATGTCGAAAGACAATTGAAGAGGATTACAGGGAGAGGGAATTGATCGCACGTATCAAGGAAAATTTATTCCACGGGGTGAAGTTGGATCGATAGATAAGATGTCATAGAACGAAGGCCAAGACGGGAGGAGGGAGATTGGAGATGGTTCTTATTGCAAATCTAATATTAAGGGGCCAGAGACTAGAAACTCAGTCAAAGGATTGGGCAAGTGTAGGATAGGGGCACGTGGGTGGAGTATTGGGAGTTATTTACAAGTTTTACCTACCAGATATGAAAAATGAAATACATCTCACGTCAAGCCAAGAGGACTTCCATCAATTTCAAATCTTGTGTAGGTGATTTGTAGTCTTATTATACAGAATTGTGAAATGACTTTTGAAAATCCAAGTGGTGCATATTGGCTTCAAATTTTTAACACACATAAAAATCGGTATAAAAATTGAGAAAGTTAAGATTCAGCGGATACGGATACTTCACCGCTAGATGAGTCCAAATCTTGACTAGAGAATACACCAAACCAAGCAAAGATGTTTGAGGGAGTGAGAGCTTGTTGGCCTATCATGAGAATGTCGTCGCAACAGAGGAACTAATAGCATTTCATGGTGGTGTATGAACGAATATTGAATTACCATAATAAATTGGAATGTCTAAGAAGTTTCATCAAGTCTATCTGCATATGCAGACTAATTATTTGATGGATCGAACCTACTTCCAAAGCTTATTTGAATATCTTCCGACATCGAACGCCCACTCCTAGACTACTAATAGGCGTCATTGAACAGCCCAATCAAACCCGAAAGTTATGTGAAAGGGCCGTGAGAGATTTGACAGGTTAAACGCCAGATCTAAAATCTTCAATATCGTTCTCAATAACATGCCCAACCAGGCATATGAATTCTATAAACTGCGCTGAAACAAAACCCTCCTTTTAAATCTCTCTATTCATTCTAATGTATCCACCCAACCTTTTCATTCCCATTTAACCATTAACATTCATCCCTAATCAACACTCACTTCCTTGAACTCAGATCCTGCAAACTAGATCCACTCAGTGGAAGGTGGGACTTTTCTCTCTGTTGTCTCCAACCAACATTCGTCAAGAATTTCGCAGGATGATATAAATTAAACAGAACCAGGACCGGAAGCATCAAAGCGGCCTCAAAGACATAGAAATTCCATTCGTGAACCGAGAGATATCCATCGAAACCCGTTGTGAATTCTACCATTCTGTATATCGAACGAGCCTGAGCATATGTTAGCACTCGAATTCTGACGCGCTCGAGATGATAAGGGAAACTGTGCTGGGAGACTTACAAAGATCAGCCCACTGGCAATGTTAATCGCCATCAACAATTTCTTCCACTGTCTATCCGGCCATGAACTTTCAAATTTCTTCGAGATGAAATGGAATCTTAGAGAAACGATCAAGAAAAATCCAAAACATAATAATTGGATAACCAGACCAACTTTCATGACATTGTAACCCCGTTGAACAACTTTTGGATCTTTGGAGGTAGCGGAAGTGGCGCCAAATACTTGGATTAAAAAGGCGACAATGTCGCAGGTTACGAAGATGGGTGTCATCCAGCGGGGTGGTACCCAGAGGTTCTTGATGTTTCGGAAAGAGGAGGGAGTAACGTGGAGGATTACCCGGCCCTGGGATGATGTTAGAGTGGTGTTATGGAGGACAGTATGATGAACAAGACGGAGAGAGACAAGGACGTACCATTGCCATGTAGCAAGACGCAGCCATAAGCGCAGGCGCGAGAAAAATAAGAACAAATTGGACAATATATGCGTCTGATTCGTTAGCATATGAGATATTGACAGCATTTTTCTTTACTCACTTCTATTAGTTGTGTTATATACCGAGACCACTCGTCCTATGTACCCGACAGATTCCACTATTAGGTATTAGCATCATACTTCTAATCTTTTATCTAGGGTGTAGAAGACTTACTAGCTGCCGCTAGCACCATGAATAACCAGAACCAACTTTTGAGCCATATGTACTGGAAAAGTGTATATATGAAACTGCCTGTGTATAGTATGGCAAAAGCAATCGCGGCCCCTTTTGATGGGTCATAGTCGTAATAACTAGCATCTATGAGATGGATGTGAGTTTTTGAAAACCTGTTTTGCTGTGGAGACACGTACCTTTGCTGGACATCTTCACACAGAATATTTACGGGTGCGAGAGACAAAACAAGAAAGGCTGTAACTCTTTTAGATGTGGTGATCTGAAGAGCTCTGGATATTCAAATCTAACTTCGATATCGAAATCCCACAGTGTAAGAAATATCTGATAGTAACGAGCGATTAAAGCAAAGATTGAAGAAATCAGAACAGTAAAAATAACCTAACATGGAGAATCTGATAAATAACAATAAAAAAGGGAACGCAGGATAAGATATTCATTTTCCAGATACCTACCTGCCTTAAATCAAAGATCAGATCCATGCAAGAGAACATGTCAATATGCATATATCAATAGCATACCTCGTGTTAAACGAGGTACCATTCCACCCCTACACAGCCCACTCATCTCAAGCGTTGACGCGTCCGAACTTCCTGGTTACCCTTTTCGGAACAACGTGAGATGAATTTCGTACTTAGCGAGATCCGATAGGTCAATGCACATTCGCGAAAAGACATGGATTTATTTCGCGTCCAGTCACCTTCGAGACTTCGATAGGCAGATAGCAGAAAAAGCGATTGTATAAGGAGTAGAAGGATCCGTAAGGCTGACACATGGAATGAGACAATGAGACTCCGCCCCCTTTGGTAATTTTGTTTTCCTCGCTTACACGAGAGATGTGGGCTGAGAAGCCCTTGCCAGACGGACATCGGGAGCGGACAATGAATGTCTCCCAAACCCGCCTTTGTGTATCTCCGTCCCGGTACCGAAAAATACGGTCCATGATTGGATGTGAAGAAGCATTGTAGAGAATTTTTTAGGCTATGCTTAAAGGGTTGATGGTTCTATACCCACAAAGTAATGATAGGGTCCGTACGCTTAACGACCGGGTCCGTACGAACCAATAGCTAATCGAGAGGAAAGATTATGATGCAAGGGTATTTTTTTGGTATCTCATTTGTCTCGAGCCAGGAGGAGAGATCTCATAAAAGTCTAAGAGAACCATATTGTAGGAGTCAATGATGCCTTTAAAGTTAATATGTGAATTTGCCTAGGTTGACAATGTATATAGGGCGTAAGAATTCCTCGCAAGATATGTTCAGCGCACCTCGTAGAAAATATTCAAAGTGAATGGGATGATTTTCTTTGAATTGTTAGCACTAATACTCATCTCGAGATACTGGAATATTTGATGAGAAAGGCCGTCTAACCAAGCCAAGGCAGAGAGCTGTTCTATGGAAGTATCAATATCCTTTAGAGGTTCAAGATTTGAGAATGAATATAGATATCTTGATGAGACCAATTAAATGCTTACCCCGACCTCAGTAATACCGAGATTACATGTACAAGCAAATATGGGTCCGGGTTGAGACGCAGGTCTTGATCCAGCCAATAGAAAGCCTATCCGATTCGTATAAGATATGCAACAAAAGCAAGTGGAATATGAAAGAGTGAATTTGGGTATCTAGGGCTGGCCAATACATGGCCAGTACTGTTATGCGTATCCGAAGTCACGAATCTCGAGTACCGACTGTATCTTGCTCGAATGGAATCAAACCGAACGATACACGAGCGGCTATCTGAATGTAATATCTGAAACCAATCACAAAGCTCCTATTTAAAAATCCAGTGAACAAAGTGTACAGACTGTGCACAAAATGTGTACATAAGAAGTGCTCGCTCGATATTTTCTTTCCAGACATAAAAGTCATAAACTTACACCCTACGACAAGCATCTCCGCAAAGAACAAATACGTACAAGCATCACATCAAAACAACTTGTATCTCCAATACAACATGACCCTTTGGTATTGCTCCAGTTGCAAAACCATCCTGCTTACCGGCGACGAAACACCTATATGCAACACATGCAATATCCCAATGACTAGTCAGTCGACCGACTATTACCTTAGGATCTTGGGAGGAAGAGAATTATGGCTGAACGGAAGGGGCGCATTTATGGGAAACAGGAACGAAAGAAGGCTCTTCGATATTCAATTGTAGAAGTTTCCTAGTAATACCTGGTTAGTGCAATACGACACCCTATTCTGACCTCAAGGGTCAATGATACCTTGTTTCATCGTTACATTTGACCTTATTAGATCCTAGTGAATACAAATTATTTGTGAGACGATTGACAGTGCACCTTAAAAGTGGTAATTTCCATCCGCTAATTTCACACAAATCAAAAGATGGATGTTTATTATTTCCGCTTTCATTATAAATCATTAAAATAATGAATATCAATCCCAGATCTTATATCGGAAGGTTTGCTGATTTATAACACCAAGCTATGCCCGCTAATAAAGCAATCGAGACTATGAGCATTTGCCGCAAATATGATACACAGCTTAGCTACCCTCTACGCGTATGCAGCCCAACCTATATAGATATTAATCAGCGTTCGTTATGAATAGATGATATCGGCATATTAGATGGAGATATGGGAGAGATAAGAGCGGGGGGGGGGAGGGGGGGTAGAAAATACCTGAATACAAAACTGCCAAATTTTTCTCATCCCTCGCTTGATTTATCAAATCATTGACTGTGGCTTCTACACTTAAAGTTTTTGACAATTTCTTGTTGACCACGGTCAGAGCTTTATCAGCTTCACTCGGTTGGTTGACAGTTAACCTTTCACCACCTCTCTCATGTCCCATACCAGGTTCCGGCGCAACACTTTGCGCCACCTGCAATTTTGCAAGTCGCACGGGTGATATAGACCAGCTGTACAATGGATCATACCGTAGAACGTCAAGAATAGTCATGATACTGTAAACTTCCTTACGCAAAGCAGAAAGAGTGAATTCACAACATCGCCTGAATACACCTTCAGTTTCTGTTATGCCCATTCCGTCGACAATATCGCGGGTGAGACGGAAAGGTACCAATTCGGGGACCGGAAGGACCCGACCCATTTCGAAAGCCACACCAAGATCAATATGTACTACTTCAC